CACTGAACGCAAAAAATAAATGTGGCGTAAGTGTGCTGATTAACAAGCCTGGCGAAACACAGCAGATACTCAAGATGCGAGAAAATTGACTGCTCGACATTACATTAGCACATCGCGATACGTCCAGCACAGGGGGGGATGAGACACGGTACAGCTATACAACACACCTGCAAGCTCGCAGTCAAATAGGATGTTGCGTTACAGCAGCATACGCACCGTCGAAAGCACCTGTCAAAAAGGGTTAGCTTATAGTTAGCATCAGCGTTGCCAAAATACAAAGCGTGAAGGAGAAATCCTGCCAGAAAACAAAGAGCACGCGTCGAGCATATGTCGCTACCCTCTGCCAATATGTGTACATCATTTAACACCAGCTATGAAAGCGGCAACTGTTGACTAGCTTTGCGCCAGGATTCCCAGATGCTTGAAACAAATCAAGCAGCATGCCACACCGTTAGCATTGAACCAGGGATACAGCCCAGCCTTGATCGAAAGGGCGCGTACGCGATACGCACCCGCAGCAAAATCACGAGAGGGACAGGGAGGTGCGCCCGATGCTAGCATCAAGCAGGTGCAACCACTCAGCCGCGGGGAGACGCACGATGCCCATGTAGCGCCATCGTCTGCACACGTCTCAATAGAATCAACAGTGCACGACGGAGTGCCTTGATGAGGGGAAATTCTAGTAAAAGAGACAGCCACTAACTGATATCACTAACCGAATGCGTGGGGCACGGAAGCACACTTGCGACGCCATAACACCCACCTTCTAGCTATGCTATGCTGTGCTGCCCACGGAGAAGCACCAATCGTTGCCTTAGGGGAGTGGGGTCGACTACATTGCATTGGGATGGGAACAGCTGCTGTGATACGGAGAAATGACTCCTCAGCTCTCGAAACCCGGTTGAAATACACTTGTTTCGTGCTCAGAGCCAGCTTCACAGCAAAAACGTTTCACACGAGACTGTTGATTGGCCGCCGAGATCACGCGATGACCCATCAAGGTTTGTTCGCAACATTGTGTGTTGCGACAACTATACGAGGAAAACCAGAAGCGAAATGCCTACCAAAGTCTGTACAACCATATAAGTCTCCTGAGTCGAGGAACTATGCTACAAACTCATGAGAATTGCACAAAATGGGTTCACTAGGGACAGGATACACGTGGAACAAAAGAAAACACACAACAGAGCCACCTGTGAGTAACACAACCACCACCTGTGCATCAGCCAGAACCCCTTTGTGACCATGGCATATTACTAGCATGAGAGTGGCACATGAGAGCACCTACGTATTGCCCTATGAGGCCCACCTTCTCCCCTACCCCCCTGGATTGTCTACATGCAAGGATAAACCCCAGACATCACCGGGGAGTCTGCACACCAACAGTGAATGACCGTCCCTTTGCCATGCAGTACCAATGCGTCCCATCACGGCACGTCACTTTGATTGAACGCGATGGCAACGAACACTCAGACCACGGGGGCGTCCACGGGCTGCGATGCACGGTTGATGCCTTTAGTCTCTTTGATCCCATCTGTCGAGATGAGGATCGTCTCGTTCCTGGAGAAGGCCCAAGCCTTCTCGTTGGCCACGTACCACGGGCCGCTACCATTCACGGACGGCGCCATGATTGCCGCCTTGCACCATGCCGTCACCTTACGCAGGTAAGTGGCGACAAGAGCGATGTTCGGGCCTGCGCTTGTCTCCAGATCCTCTCCGTCATTGATAATACAATGCTCGACCTAGGAGCACATGTGAAACAGAAAATGCAAAACCAGAGTTATGGGGTTAGAATCAACACCAAGCGTCCTGAGAACTGTAATAAAAAATATGGCAACACCATGCAACGACTCACCCCTGCCAGGTAGTACGCAATGTGGTACAACTTGACAACCACCGGCGTGGGCTTGCCCTTGAATAAGGACTTGTGCAGCCCGGTCTCAAAGGCCGGGTGTGAGAATAGGAGGCCCCCAACATGAGGCTCGCGGGTCCACGTGAGATTCCCGTGGCTGCTCTCGTCTGCAAGAACATTCAAGAAGGGTAGAGAAAAGAGGAGACAGGTTCTTAGGGTTCATAATCATGCAGTGGCCGTTGGGTCAGGGCGTGACCCAAGCATGTCATAGGGTGGCGACTGGGGCAGGGCCTGACCTAAGCACATAATGCAGTGGCACACCTCCAGGCCCCATGCCAGGCAGGCCATGTCCTGGCACAATGGCCAGAAACCGAGTAATTGAAGCTGTCATTAAAAAACAAGCAAGTTGGTGAGGAGACGACAAACATGTTTCCTTGGTCGTAATCGTGGGGCAGTTACGTGACGCTTGAAATGGTGTGTGGCGTAGCATTTCAAGTTCGTGGAGGGTGAATGATGTGGTACATACCTACAGCATACGCGGCCCTGAACTCCTTGAAGGTGATGGGGTTGGCAGCACGAACATGCGGCTTATGCGCGCGGGGCTGCTTCGGGACTTTGCACGGGAGACTGAACCAGAGGAATGTCCACGTCCGAGCCTGGTCAAGCACGTTTCCCCGACATTTGGCCAGCTTGTCGGTCAAATAGCGACGACGGACCGGATCATTCTGGAGAGTCATGTGGACCGTGACACGAGCATCGTCCACACACAAGTGAATTGACTTGATAATTGCAAGCTCCACTGAATCCTCGTCGGGCCACATCCTCATCCTCCTCGAGGGAGTCCCGTACACAACGATTGCGATGACATCCGCCGCAACGCCCTGCGATGGGGGTGAGGGTGGGAAAGAGGTGGGAGGGATGAACAGGGGGGAAAAACAGAGAGGTGAGAGGGGGAAGCTCTGCTTTGGGTGCCTGGGCCAGTGGGGAGGGCTTGGGAAGACACATTACATAGCTCCTGCCCCACTCCTTCCTGCCTGTGCTCGGACCGAGCCACTCTGAGGGGTGATAACACGGCAAAGAGGCAAGGGAGAGAGGGACAGGGGAGGAAAAAGAGGTTAGAGGGGGAAGCTCTGCTTTGGGTGCATGAGCCAGTGGGGAGGGCTTGGGAAGACACATTACATAGCTCCTGCCCCACTCCTTCCTGCCTGTGCTCGGACCAAGCCACCTTGAGGAGTGGAAACTAGGCATGCACTAGCACTACCCCCACACACCTTGTGTCTCACACAGAACATATGAGGGGGTACGTGTGCTTTCATCATCCCACCATAGATGCATAAGACGAAATAGCAAAGAAGGGTTGGGCTGGGGTGGGTGATATACAACCACCTCAACACACCTGCCAGCCATCGTGCATGTCGTGGATTTGCGACATTTCGCGGATGAGTCGCGACGCCCATGTCAGCTGTGCGGGTGTGAGGCTCTCCAGAATCGAGGGCGTCCCCCTCACACGACACTCCGCAGATATTGCCCGCACCGCAGCCAGGGACATGGGACGGGTATCCATGGCAGCATGCGTTGCAGCTTGCGTTGCAGCAGGAGTTCCTGTACCATGCGACGCACACGCGCCACGGTCATGCGGTGCAGCCTCCCCAGCTTGGGGAGCTTGTGTTGCCCACCGTTGCCTGGCCTCGTAGTCTCGCAGCTGGTTCTCCAAGCGGTTTTCACGATTCTGGCGACGGATGAGTTCATGGCGGCCCCGAGATCCTGAGGCATGGGCTCCCCGGCCCATCCATGCTCGACCGCACCGTCGGCGTCGCGCTGGTCAGAAGCGCCTGCAGGTTGCGCTGCTGGCGGACCCCTCCCTCCCTCGTAGTTGGGAGGGAGTTGGGTGGCCGGGGTATTCGCCACTAGCTCCGTCAACGAGCGCGTTCGTGGCGGATTACCTGCCGCAGCACATGTGCAAGAAGCAGCGTTAGTGCGCATCGGAAGCATATCGTCCACATGCCATGCGACCAGATGATATGGAATTTCTCTCTTCGCATTTACTCACCATGATGAGCATCTGCGACGTGCTCGGTTGGAGCGGGCTGTGGGGACGAGAGGCACGAGCGTACTTGGCGCTGGGCGCGCATAGGCAGGTTGCGCACAGTGCCTGACGCTGGCAGAGTCGCGGTTAGTTGCTGGCCCGGGTTGAACGGTTGCCCTGGAACACTGACGTAGATGATGCCGCCAGATAGGTCGTAGTCGTCACACGACCATTGAGAATGGACGCCTTGGGTGGACCTTGTGGGTCGCCCAGCAAACGTTTCTTCCATGCCAGCCCCAGGCTGGATGACGTAGCCCGGGTGTCCGTACCTGTACATAGCGATGGCGAGCAGGCGCCAAGTTGGCGCAAGGGTTGTATGGACTAAAACAGAGGTTGCGTGGGAGTAAAGTGATGCGTCTGAACTGACCCGTGCACAATCTTCAGGTATCTAAACTACAATGCAAGAAACCATTGTCTACCACCCTGATGGATTCCCACCACGCTCACGTGGATATCGGAGGATACCTTGTCAATCCCACAATACACTGAACCTACGCATACAATCATGCCACGTGTGTCGGTTTGGTTCACGTTATCCGCCAGGTGTATGCCACATCGATCTTGGTACGCCATTCGGATTACAGAAAAGTGGGACCACTGGGGTCTAGCTAATATTGCGACTCGGCGCTGAGTGAGACCAGGATGCGCCTTCATCATTATGTTGACCATGAATGCACTATACGCAGTAATCGCTGCAGTGGCTAAGACGTGATGGGTGCGTCGCGACGCGGATCTCCATGCGTTTGCACCGACGACAGCCGTTGCCCCGCTATTCATACATCACAATAGTGCGATTTTTACCGTATCAAACAAAATATAACGATTAATAGCCCCAACATACAGATTCGCCATGAGAAAATGCAAAAACGGTGCAACAACAGAACCTGGGTGTCACACCATGATAACCCACAGATAACGATAAGAGCAACTACACCCTAGTCTTGTATGAGTCGCATGATAAATATACTGGAACGAGAAGCATCAGAGCTACCGCACACCCAACCAAAAAGTAAAAGTACCAAACATGAGTCTAACTACCCCCAGGGCGTTAACGGCCATCCACTAAAACACGAGCCCTTCACGCTCGCCATCACTGTCGCCCGCATTGCTGCTCTGCATGGCGTCGTCATCGTCGCCCTCAGAACCATCACTGGCATCTTTCTCATCCGGAAATCCAGCGCTGTAGTAACCGGGAGGCGAGTAGCTCTGCCTAACAAGGCGAGGGATCGTGGGAATGATCTTGGCGAGGTGATCCGCTTCAGCCTTGTTCCTTACACGCCATGCCCGACCGTTCTTGTCGACCTGACGGTACTCGCAACCGAGAATTGGGGGTTGCTTCTCCCACCAGGCGAGCATGCCGAGGGCGTGGGAGAGGTTGCTCACGGAAATGCCGTTAGGTCCGCCAACCCACCCTCGACGATCCGGAACTATTAGCGCCTCGGGAAGAGGCCTCCCGTTCTGCCCAAACAGACCTCGGACGTCAGCTGCGTACAGATGATCGTATGGGCCACCTTGAACCTGCGCAATAGACGTAAGGATAGGATGTGAGACAAGGGAATGATGTGTCCCGAAACGGTTTTGTTACGCACTCACCACGAAGCCCATGGCATGCGCCCATTCCATCAGATAATCGCGGTAGTCAATCTTGGCCCGAGGGCGCATGAGCTCCGGCCAACCTTCAGCCAAGGTGTTGATCTTCGTGTGGTCTTGAATGGCCTCAATAAACAGGGCGCACTCTCGCTGGAACTCCACACCGTCGTTATGGTCGTTGAAAGCTGTCTTGATCAACATGTGCTCGAACCACTCTATGCTGGCGGTGTCGCGCATCCGACAAATCGCACGGTACTCGGACATCGACTTCTCCTGTTTGCGATGCGCACTGCACCTTCCTGAAAATGCGAGATGCTTGATCCCGTCAACAAGGCCCTTGGGAGTTGGCTGTTCCTCCAGGAAATGCCATTCCGTGAAAATTACCTGCATAGCAGCAAAGCACACTACCGGTTGGCGCCTCATGAGGGTCTCCACCGTGCATTTTCCGGAGTAAGTACACTCCGTCGCCATGGAATGAGGCGACGGCGTGCAGCTGAACACTGGTGGTAGCGGCTGGAAATATGTGCACTGAAGAGTCTTCAGCTGACTAGGCCTCTTTTACAGGGAGCAGAACATCAAGAAGAAATCCCGTGTCGCAGTTGGAACACATCTGCGACGGAGCGCATGTTCCACACATCACACATTTTGGTTGGTAAATTATAACAAGTCACAGAACATGTCTCTCACGTCACTGATTGTCCCGTAGAACATCAGCAATCTGGTCATACATCAACTACATTTGACGCGTGGCACCTTTGTAGTACCAAAGCGCAGGAAAAGTGATAAAAGCGGATTGTACCATGCGAAGGTCAAATGCGTTTCGACACACCACGGCAACCCAGTATTCCGTTGGCGACTGGTTATCGTACTCGCACGACACAGGAGCGCGAAGCAACCTGACTTTCGCACAACACTGGCTTTATCGGGTTACCACCTAAGAGCAACTCATTCAGTGTGCCAATGGGTTCGAGGGGTTATGGGAGTATGTTTCACGTTGTAAAACGGTCAGAAAACACGCTGGGATGGTCAGGAAGGGTAGTTATTAAATTCGTCTCCAGCAGACTTGGTGTACATGCTTGTTGCTTACAGGAAACAATGAAGGACGTTATAGACTGTATCAAACCATTCTCACCCCAGCCCACCAATTTGTAACCCACTGATTAAACTCCCCGATTGTAAGTCCGCTTCGTGCCTCACACCTAGCCTGGGATGACCAGATCACCCCAGGGAATCCAGGCTCCCGCTAGCAGATCCGATGAATGCGTAGTTAGGCCGTGATTAGCGGGTGATGCCGGGCATCAAATACCATTGTGCCCGAATTGGACGCGTACATGGGTATTCGTCGCCGATGACCGCGACTTGTTAGGTCGAGACATCGTGTTATACGCAGGCTCCGATTTATGCGCTAGCTGCGTGATGGAGGCAGACCGTGGATCCTCTCTGGCTCGCGTGTCTAAGTCCCGCGTATACAAAGAATTGCATAGGTCTCGTTTAAACTACCGCTCTCCGAAATGCTGTACACAACATCATGGACGATGTCACTGCACAATCTCAACGATGGAAGTGTGGATTCTGTACGCGCACATTTGCAGCATACTCCGCACGAGAGCGTCACGAGCGCACGAACCAGCCGTGTATAGCTGAGCGCCAACGACGCGTTGACGCTGGCGAGACGAGTGACCGGTCGGGCGAAGTCAGCAGAGCCGCCACCCATACATCTCTGCCTCTTCGTGGAAACCGTGACGAGCAGCCAACTGATCAACCCGCCACCACGCCTCCTGCTGCAGAGAACGTACCAGCACGCCATGAACACGATGGCGTCGGCGCTGAACCCGCGACGACAGGAGAGGCAGCCGCAAGTGCAAGATCAAGCAACGACAGTGCAGAATCTGCTGCCGAACGTGATCCTTTGAGGGATCATCGTCGTGCCCGAGTCCCTTTAGACAATGAGTTTGCGATATGGCGCTTGGTTATGGGCGCGAACAACGGGCGCGGCATGCTAGCCGCGGATGCCGCGCTGCTGATGAGGATCTTTGGGGCGCGGGGTCTCAACCTAGCAGCCGTCCGACATTGGCGCTCAAAGCGTGCAATAGAGCGATACGGCTTGAAATTACTTATGGGTTCACGCACATACGTCACATCTACGGTCACGGTGCCAGAATGGCCGACTCCCTTCACCGTACAACACACCAATATATGCGCGGTATGTTGACAGCAAGATTGTTTGATGTCCGTGCCCTGCTTTCCATTTTGTCAATGTTCTTGATCCTCCGCGCCGTGTGTTCCTCTGTGCAGGCAATTGACGAGCTCTGGAGAAATCCGGACAATGCGGAAGGTTTCGTGCTTCGACCTGACGGACCTGCACCGCCTTATGGCCCCGGGTACAAATACGTGGACCCGAAAACGGGCACCATGTGGAAAATGGCGCAGGTACGTACCTCACACGACACGACACACGTATCAATAACCATCGTTGATCCTCTGCATGCTCATTACGTTACATCAGAGGCCGGCATTCCGCAGTTCCTATAGCATGTCACTGTCACACGCACCTTCACTGTTACACGCACCTTCACTGTCACACGCACCTTCACAGTCACACACACCTTCACTGTCACACGCACCTTCACTGCCACACGCACCTTCACTGCCATACGCACCTTCACTGCCACACGCACCTTCACTGCCACACGCACCTTCACTGCCACACGCACCTTCACTGTCACACCATGAGCGCAGTCTCTCTATCACTGTCCCTCTGCACTATTCCCATCCCCGTCCGCTGACTCTGAGCAGGAAGTGTGCAACACACCTCCTGTGACAAAAGGCAGGAGGTGTGCAACACATCAAACCCTCATCACGTGGGCTCTCTCCCTCTGCCCTGTGCCCCTCCGCCATGTAGACTCTCTGACCCATGGCTCCTGAGGAGTGAGGCGCCACGACATTCCCGTCCCCCTTCTCACTTTCCCGAGCATGGGATCCTGAGCTGACAGGCGCGGCATCAACCACTCAGGGCCTAGTATAAACTCCACAAGCGCCCTCTCCCCCACTCTCCCTCTGTCCTGCCCTCATACCACCCAGAATACTGCAGCATGGTATTGTGAGCATGGGTCTCAACGGCAACAACTGCTCAGGGAATGGACCACTCACCACCAGCGCCCTCTCCCGAACTCTCTCTCTCTGTCCTTCCCTCATTCGAACCCCCAGAATACCGGGCATGAGGTTCCGCGCTTGGAGGCGCGGATGCGTCTGGTTTTGGAGAGGACCGCACACCACCAGCGCCCTCTCTCCAACAGCAACCTCTGTCCTACCCTTATTCCCCCCCTTCCAGAATACCAGGGCAAGTGACTCCGAGATTGGAGGCTGCTTGGCAACAACCTGTCTGGTCGTGGACTACACACCACCAGCGCCATCTTTCCAACCCTCCCTCTGTCTCGCCCACACTCTCGACCACTTGCAGAATCCAGCAGCATTGTATTGTGCGGTTGGAGGTGAACCCTCGACCACTCAGGGCCGGACTACACACCACCAGCGCCCTCTTACTCACTAAGCCTCTGCATCAAGCTCATACCCTTGTGCTACATGCAGAGCCTGCTGAAAAACGAGGAGCTCATCTGCCCCATCATCCTGGCGTCCGACGTCACAACGCTCAGCGGGCACGGGCGTACACGTGTGTGGCCTGTTTACCTCTCCATCGCCAACCTCCCGTACTCAATGCGTTGGCGCGAGTCGGGAAAGGTGTTGCTGGCATTGCTCCCTATGCCAAACAGCAAGATGAGTCCACTGCAGAAGGTGCAGTTGTTTCAGAAGGCGATGGCAACCGTGTTACATGACATTTTCCAAGTGTCAAAATGGTAAGTATTCGCCCAGATGGCTTCACACACGGATGAATAGCAGACCGGGGCAGTCAGTCAGAAATGGTATCAGTTCTATTTCAAGAAGACTGAAGTCGCGTGGTATGTGTGTTATGCAGGGGCATGACACTCACAGACCCGTTAGGAAATGTGCATACCGTGTATCCGATGCTGTACGCTTACGTAGGGGACAACCCTGAAATAAGCAAGGTCTCATGCACTCGGGAACTTGGATCCGACAAGCCATGCTCGGTGTGTTATGTCGGGAAGGATTACTTGTGGATCATCCGGGATGGTCTAAACGAGCGGCGCACAGTCAAAGCTCAATGAGGAATCCAAAACAACGCGGACGACTTGAAGAAGTACTCCACGCACCCAATCGAGGTGAGTGCTATGTCACCGCTCGCACTGATCCCAGCCGCATTCACTCACACAGCGCCCGAATTGCATTGACCCCAGCATCATTCACACACACAGAGCACGACTAGCATTGATTCCAGCATCATTCACTCACACAGAGCACGACTAGCATTGATTCCAGCATCATTCACACACACAGAGCACGACTAGCATTGATTCCAGCATCATTCACACACACAGAGCACGACTAGCATTGATTCCAGCATCATTCACACACACAGAGCACGACTAGCATTGATTCCAGCATCATTCACACACACAGAGCACGACTAGCATTGATTCCAGCATCATTCACTCACACAGAGCACGACTAGCATTGATTCCAGCATCATTCACACACACAGAGCACGACTAGCATTGATTCCAGCATCATTCACACACACAGAGCACGACTAGCATTGATTCCAGCATCATTCACACACACAGAGCACGACTAGCATTGATTCCAGCATCATTCACACACACAGAGCACGACTAGCATTGATTCCAGCATCATTCACACACACAGAGCACGACTAGCATTGATTCCAGCATCATTCACACACACAGAGCACGACTAGCATTGATTCCAGCATCATTCACACACACAGAGCACGACTAGCATTGATTCCAGCATCATTCACTCACACAGAGCACGACTAGCATTGATTCCAGCATCATTCACACACACAGAGCACGACTAGCATTGATTCCAGCATCATTCACTCACACAGAGCACGACTAGCATTGATTCCAGCATCATTCACACACACAGAGCACGACTAGCATTGATTCCAGCATCATTCACTCACACAGAGCACGACTAGCATTGATTCCAGCATCATTCACTCACACAGAGCACGACTAGCATTGATTCCAGCATCATTCACTCACACAGAGCACGACTAGCATTGATTCCAGCATCATTCACACACACAGAGCACGACTAGCATTGATTCCAGCATCATTCACTCACACAGAGCACGACTAGCATTGATTCCAGCATCATTCACTCACATAGAGCATGGCTTGCACTGCCACCAGCATCATTCACACACACAGAGCACGACTAGCATTGATTCCAGCATCATTCACTCACACAGAGCACGACTAGCATTGATTCCAGCATCATTCACA